AAAAATGAAAACAAAAGAGGCCGGCCCCGAATGGCTCCAGTGCGTGTACACTCACCCAGACAAACATGCGTACGCGGAAGCATCTGTACGCGTGGCGTGCATGTGAGTGTGTCTGAGACGCACGCCACGTGACGGCCGTGAGGAACCGCACGGAGCACACAGCAGGGAGGCAGAAGCAATGAGAGAAAAGCAAAATAAAAAGAAAACAACGAAACAAAAAAAACGGGCGTTCCTTCACTTAGCAAATCAACCCACAAGGTGCACCCTCACAAATCCCAGAATTTAAGCGCCAAGGCTCCAGAGACCCACGTCTCGCCTCAGCACAGAGTGGCGTACGCCAGTGTGAACGCAGCGAGCACCAGCGAGGCCCACCCCCACGCCCGGCCGCCGAAGCTGCCGTCCTTCTTGCCAGCTTTTTTCGGAGCAACCGTTGTTACTCGCCTCGTCGTCGTAGTTGTGGACGCAGGCACCTCTGTCGTTGTCGTCGTACTTGTGGGCGCAGGTGCCGCCGTCGTCGTCGTAGTTGTTGTTGTTGTGGTTGTGGTAGTCGTGGTGGTGGTGGTGGTGGTAGTCGTTGTTGTGGTCGTGTCACTGCTTCCAGTGGCCACTGTCACGCACACGGACGGAAAGCAGCAGAGGGCGAGAACAAAAAACAGGTGCAGCAGACGGCATCGCCTCAGCTTCATCATTGTTGGAGAGCGTTTGTTTGGTGTTCAGAGTATTTGCTTTTGTGTGGTGGCGGAAGGGTGAATGCAGAGAAAGGAGAGGGGAGAGAGAGGTGTGCGGCGGACACGCACGCACAGGAGCAAAAGTTTTCGGCGGACGCTGCGCCCACAGCAGGGCGGCGCGGCGACCCCCTCGAATGCGCCCACGGCTCCAGGAGTTGCAGGTGCGCCTTGCCAGTGCGCGCCCACTCCTTTGCAGGCGGCTTTCCCTGAAGAGAGGAGCGGGAGACACAAGAAAGCGTGGGGACTGTTGGGGCGGAAGGAAATAAACCAAGTTCCCTCCGTGAAGAGCCGCAGAAGAAGGCGAGAACGACAAACTCGACCGTCCCATCCCCCACTTCTTCTCCCTCGCATGTCAGCGAACGTGCGGCGGTGGCCAAGGCACCAACACAACTCCAATGGCGCCCCATCCGTCTTCGTCAGCCACGTCAATAAATCACTCGTCTGCGAAGGGCGTCTCTTTCATCTTCCACGTGCGTTGCTTGGTCTCGGTGTTGACGTAGTAGAGGCGGCCACTCTTTGGGTCCCTGAACTCCTTCCACGCCCCACAGATCCGTAGGGCTCCCCTTTTTCACTGAAGCCGCCTCCTCCTGCACCTCCTGCCGCGCCTGCTGCGGTGCCCCCGCTTCCCGCTTCAGTTCAAGCACCTCCGGCGGCGCGTCCCACCTCACCTCCTTTGTGACAACGTGCCTGTAGTATACCTTCCCGGTCGATTTGTGGCGCAGCTCCTCCCAGTTGCCGTAAGCTGCGCCGTCATCCTCGACTCTCGTCGTCTGAGGTGCCTCAGCCACACTTGTTGCTGCCGCTGCTGCTGAAGCGGGGGGTGGGCTCACGAGCGGCTGCGACTCTGGTGACGCCGCTTCCTCTCTTTCCTGCGGCAGTGCCAAGTCACGCTGCTCCCGCGCCAGAGCCCGCGACAGAGAAGGTTCGCCGCTGGACACTTGTGGCTCGTGCTGCCCAGCCTCGCGCCGTAATTCCATCCGGCTCGCCTCATTCGCCGCCGCGCCCTCCCACCGCCCCTCGCACTTCAGATTGAGGTCAGCCGACCCCACGCTTTCCGCAGAGAGCCGTTGTTGATGCGGCGACAGTTCCTGGGGCTGGTCAGCCTGCGATAGCGGCTGCGTCTCTTGCAAGGCCTGCGGCGGCCGCCCGGGTAATGCGTGTCCACCGTGGCCCACCGCCTGCATCGTATCCGTCCCTCCCTCCCCATGCGACTGCGCGCGCGGCTGCTGCTGGCCGTTGCGTGAGGAGGGGGCGCCCCCGGCGGCCGTCACCTGCTGGGGGACACGCGTCTTCTCTACGGGGCGGAGGGCACGGATGCGCTCCTCCTGGGACCTCAACGAGAGGTTGGCCCTTTTCTCCTCCTGCTCCAGAAGGTGCAGCAGTTCTCGCATCTCGGCGGTTGCCTCCGCCCCACTCCAGCGGGCAGCTGCGCCAGCGAGCGAGCCAGACACGGACCGCGGCGGAGGCGAGTGCCCCGTCCCCGCCGACGCAGCTGCAGCACTGTGGCGCGGCAGCAGCTGCGACTTGGGGCGCGCCGCAGGGGACGAGGACCCGGACGGCGGCGAGCGCGTCGGCTGCCACCCCTCCGTCCGCAACGATCCCGCGGGCGACCGGCGGGGCGGCAGGTGGAAAATGGCTTCGCGCATCTCCTCCTCACGCATTCGAATGCGACGCAGCGCCTCGCCTCCCTGTTCGCCCCGCCGAAGCGCGTGCCCACGCGTCGCCAGGGCCGGTGGGGAACGGCCGCGTGCCGAGGACGCCGTTGCCTCCGCATCCCGCGCCCGGGGCGCGAGGGACGCGTCCGGGCCATGCAGGAGCTGCAGCGCCGCGACGATGCCGCACGCCGCCGCGGCGTCCGCGACCTCGAGGACAAGAATGCTGGAGCGCGTAAAGAAGGCGAAGTCGTACGACACCCAGTCCCCTCTCCGCGACACGTGGCGGCGGCGCTCCCGCACACTGCGCCAGCGCAGCTCGGCGTGGAGCCCGGGGTCGGTGGGGCGGTAGACCGACAGAGACTCCCGCGTGAGGCGCACCACGGCGCGCTCGAAGGGCCTTGCAGAGTGACTGCGCAGGCCCTTCACCGGGTATTTTAGGGCGGTGATGCCGCCCCCGACGCCCCCAGGCCCACGGTGCGCGCACTCCCCGCCAAACTCGAACGCGGAGCACGCCAAAAACGCCTGCGCGTCGCTCGGCGGCGGCAGCTGCTGCTCATGATGGTGACTCATTTGCGCCGAGTCTCGCCGCTGCACTGCCACACCACGTGGGACAGGGAGGAAAGCAAGAATAAACCGCAGCAACGCCTCCCGTGGGGCTGCAGCTCAACCGCAGCAAGAAGGAAGTGAAGAGCCAGCGGCCCTACACAGTCACAGTGACCAGGAAAAAAAAACACCCCCATTCCAGAGTTTTGGCGGCAAAAGCAATTAGTTAAAAATAAGTTGGGGAAAATGGAGGATACTGGCACCTTTCCCTCACGCCTTTTTGGGTGGCCGCGTCACGGCCGCTCTGCTTATCGCTCTACAAGGCTGTCCCGCTGGGGAATCTGCCCGCAGGCGTGACGCACGTAGCAGGTTGAGGTACACGCACATGCCGACCGCATTCAGCACCCTCGTGCCCCCCGGCGGCCGGCAGTGGCCCACTTCCACGTAGTCCAGCATAAGTATGTTGCCATGAGTGTTTAACCCTGGCGGAACCGCCACTGCGTCGCCGTGCAGGTGCGCAGGGGCATTCAGTGAGCAAAACCACTCAAGCAGAGGCGAGTTCAGGCGCGCCGCCACGTCATGCAGGCTAGAGGCAGGCTTCTTGAAGGCTTTGGCGAAGAACCCCCTGAGAATGCTCCTCTTGCGTGGCGTGTAGATGGCCTGCGTGACGTACAGTTTGGGAGGCACACCAGCGTCGGCACGCAAAAGATCGATGTGTAGCAGCGTCGTGAGCGACCGCAGAAGCCTTTTCAAGGAGGATTGATTCACCCAACGGGACACAACGCAACTGGAACGAACCCGCGCGGCGGGGAACTTCAGATCAGTCTCGCTTGCGCTAACCAGGAGAAACACACGTTGCTCACGCGACGCCTCCCACAGCAGCGAAAGCGGCGTTGTAAGCGGCACCTCCGCCGGTATAAAGCGGCTCGAGAGGGGGCCTAGCTCCGCGAGGAAGTTGGCTGGCCCGTCGCCGTCCTCCGCGAGAAACAGGTGCTGAAAGTCCAGCACAACAAACTCATTCGCGGAGGCAGGGTCGTCGAGAAACGCCCCCACATCCTTCACCACATCTCGCAGTGCCACTGAGATTTGGCCGTGGGTGGTGTACAGCCGGTTGCCGTCCCTCGGGTTGGCCGCGACGCGCAGGTCCAGGTAGCGCACGCCGTGGTCCAGCTGCGCGCGGATGCTCATCCCCTGGCACTTGGCCCAGGCCGCGCTGACCCCACGAAAGAGGAAGCGTGCCAGGGAGCCGATTTTTGCGCGCCCGTAGAGAGGCCCTGGCGCGTCTCGGCCAAACGGCGACGCCTTCTCAATGCCGTGCGTTCCCGCGTTGTGCGAGCCAACGAAAAACACCTGCGTCACCGCACTGTGGCCAATGGAAGAGCGCACGTCATGCATCCAGCTTCGCGGGTGCCACTCAGTACGCATGACATCGTCATCGCAGGGCAGCATATGCTGTGGGAATCAACAGTGATGCCGCCAGCCATCCTACGGCGCCAGACGCAAGCAAGGGAGAGAGGGGAAAGAAAAAAAACGCAGAAAGATACGTGCATTAGAATTATGAAATCGAACAGGCACAGCGAGAACACATCATTCCCTATGAGAGCGAAGACGCCCCTACAGCGTACCACGTCAGGCAAAAAAAAACACACAAAGCAGCAAACACACCCACATTTCGTTTGGTTCATATTTTCCTTTCGTGCCGCACCGTTTGTATCAGAAAGAAAAAGTTTTTCCTATTTAAAAAATGGGTTGGAGCATCAGTGATGGTCTGAAGAGGCTTGGCCACTAATCGTGGCGGTGGACTCAAAGATCGTGCCAGCAATTGGGAGGCAAAAAAGAGCAGACGCAGCAAACGCAAGAAACAAAAGCCATAAACAAATCAATAAATCAATAAATCAACCAATCAATCAATAATAGTAATAATAACAATGATAATAGGAGCAATAATAATAATAATAGTAATTGGAGGGAATTGAGCCCTCTGCGCCCCTTGAAATTTATGCACCTCACGCCACTACGACGACGAGGAGCGCTTCACCATGAAGGCGAGTTTGCCCTGGCTGCCGTTGACCGACACCTTCACGGTGCTGTTC